TTTCAATAAGTCGACTAGTTTATAACGACCTGCACACAATAGAAAAAATGTTAGGAATAAATATTAGATACTAGGGATTATTTTAAAATAAAATCGAAAAAACTAATACACAAATATAATTCAGATTTAAAGTGTTCGTATACTAGTTTATTACCCTTTACTCCTTTGTATCCTTTATGGAATTTGTATTTTTTATATTAGAATATTCTTTTCGATTTTATTATTTTAAAATAATTGTTATTCCTAATACTTTCTCTCTATTATGCGCAGAGCTTAAATCAAGGAAAAAAATTGGCATCGTTAATTTAAAAAGCCGACAACGTTTCTAGCTCTGATGAGTACGTTCAAAAAATATGCAAAAGCTCTAAAAATCATAATCTTGAATATACAAATGTGACACGATGGATATATTCATTGTAAATTCACTGAAATATTGGAAAATATTCCCCGGATATTCGAGGCCGTCTAAAAATGTGTGGAAAAATGCAGTCCTTAGAGAATAATAGGAAATTAAAATTAAAGCCATGAGAACGCAAGGGCGTGTTCTCGCGTTCGATCGATTTGTTTTACCCGAAAAGGTATGCTCGACGAACGAATTCGTGGTCATTCTCTTTCCGTATTACCGCAAAGTGACGCGCGGAGTATCGCGAAATAATGTATCACACAGGTAACAGGTGTTTCTGCATTTTCTGTTTGTTTTACGAAGAAAAACACGTGCTTCGCTTAACCAGTACCCACACACGGTGGACACGATATGGCGTGGGCATACAGCTTTTACGAGTGCAATATACCCCGTTCTTGTCGCAGTATACCCGCCAGTATTTTGCTTATAAACAATTTTCTTAATACAGTTAACAGTACCATCATGCCGCTGAGATGAGATATAATTCATTGCTGCGCTCTGAGAGAAAAACAGGGCTCGCGCAGAATAAATGCTCTTTAAACGCAATTGCAGCGCGGTGTCTGCGCACAATCGCATTAATTTCTATGAAGTCGCAGAGCTCGTCGGAATAGGAAGTATACAATTATTTTACGCGGCAGATTGCCTTTCTTATTACGCCCGCCTACTGCAAATCTTATCTTTTGAGATAAAACAAACATGTGAAATTTTAATTTTAAAAATGACATTTTTTTCAGACCAAATAAAAATATGATGAAAAATCAATAAAATTATTTAACTATATTATAATAAATAAAAATAAGATTTAAATTTGTATAAAAAAAATTTTGTGTATAAAAATATTAAGTGTTACACATTTACCCATATTTAATTTTAAGATGAGATTTTCACATTTTAAGCTAAATTCAAACATTTAAAAAATTGGTGAAAATATGAGAAGCAATTAATGAAACAATTTTATGTATAGCAGCAACGCTTTATGACTATCGTCACATTAATCTGTATCCTGTTAGCGTCCGAAATCTCGATAAATTCGATTTCGCACAACGGAAATAACGCGTGCACGCATCGCGGTCGATGCAACGCCGATGATTCCGAATGAATAAAATAATTCATTTTTACGACTTCGTGCTGCTGCATCGCGTTTCCCGTTTGGAACTGATCGATATTATTTCTCTTACCGGCGATTTTTCTATCTCGGGATTTTATCTCGCGGAATATCATAATATGAGAAATATAATGCGCGTATACCGCGCACGGCTGACTTTGCCGGTAAACTCGGTGAGATCGAGTGCACGGCAAATATTATGCACATACCGAAAAGCAGTCAACGAAGTTTTTGACATAATCCGCCTAATTTATTCGAAGCACGAACGCAGCCGTTGTTCTGTTTGTGAAATATCAGTTAACGAATTCGCGAAAATATTTGTCGCATGACACTAGCTTTAATTATGACTGAGATACTTATTAAGCTGAAAACTGAGTACAAAAAAAAAGTTAATATATTTTTTTAATAAGACTATACCCGTGAAAATATATTTTGCAAATGTAGAATTTTATAAATTTTATATTTTTTGTCTTGCTATTTTTTGCACCGTTCATTAAACAAGAATAATTACAATTTAATTATATAATTATACATTAATAGAAAGAGATATGTAATCGCTAAGTCAATTTTAAGAATTTAGAAAATATTCTAATTTTAAACGTGCACATAATGAAAACTTTTGTATCAATAAAAACTAGAAAAATTATGAAGAGATAAAAACAGCGCTTCTATGAAGTTATCGGACAAAAATAGTGACTGCTTTTTTATAGAAAAAAGAAGAAAAATAAAAAAACAAGCTCTCTCTTTAGATACTAAAATAATAACCAAAAATAACATTTTGTATCAAATTTTCAGAATAATAAAAAATTGAGAAATTAGATCGGTTCTCTTGTAAAACAATCACATATCAAACGACCTAAATAAAGCCTCGAAAAAACGGACCAAATTTTCAAGACAAACTAAGCAAAGAAAATGATTAATGAATTTAGCAACGTGGGAATATGTACAAGGTACCTTTCAAGCACAAGATTAATATCGCATCAGAACTAAAAATACTTGAATCTCTGGATGTCATAATACTGACCAAAATTAAAAAAGAAATGAGAGGCTAATATCGAAGAGTACGTATTCATATATTTACTGGAATCTCTAAAGAAAGGAGAGCAGCAAGAGAAGTATTTCTGCTTGTAAAAAAGAAATTTTAAAATGAAATCAAGAACTGGAAAGTAATTGACGAGAATCATATTATATAAAAATATGAAAATTGCGTCAATATGACAATTTTATCAAGTGAATTCCGCGCGACCATAGATTGTAATTTTATTTTTTCATGTTATTCATGTATAATTGTGCAATCTACTGCTTGCATTATCTATCTTATCTAAATTTTACAATATCAATTCAATATTCAGAATCAGATATGCACATACGATATTGTTTTTGCTTATATACGTATATCCCAAATAACGATAAACTATTTGCAACCAGCTATTAATTAAATATTGTTTGCGAGGAAAAACTAGATGTATATAACTCATTGAAACGTAGACGTTCAATAGATATTAGAATAACCATATATAAACATATGAATTTAACATTAAAATAACCATAACCACATGAATATGTAAATTTGATAATAGGATAATCCCCATTATATAAATATATAAATTTGATATTAGAATAACCATATAAATGAATCTGATATTAGGAAACCACAACTATGTAAACATATGATTTCGATATTAGATTAAATCATAACTATATAAAATCATAACTATATAAACATATGACTTTGACATTTATTTACGCGCACGTGTTCGCATGAATGACGAATGACAGAGTGAATCGTTATAGGAACCAGTTCCGATTTACCCAGTTATGCGTGATGCACTTATTACCGTAAGATCTAAACGTTATCGCGCGGACACGCGAGAACGAGATCTGCCAGAGAAGGTGGTGAGAGTTGCAAGGTGAGTTATAAGAGCAAAGAAAGAGAGGAGGGAAAAGAGAGGCACTCTCTGGAGCAGCACTTAAGGATAATAAACTATCGCGACAGAAAGTGCACGAGGGAGTGAGGGGGTGTCGCGACATCTTCCGCGGGGCAGGTTTTCCGAAATTGATCGTATGCTTCGCGCATACTCTCATTACCACGATCAACGATATGACATAATTTCACAATTATAGAATAGACAATAAATTGTTCGGAATAACCATAACCATATAAACATGTGAATTTGATATTAGAATCACCGTAATCACATATATAAATATATTAATGATTTTGAATATATTTATATAAAATTAAAAACAAGTCAAAATAAGTATTTCTACATATCTATTTATTTCCATCATTTCATTCAAAAGAATCGAATGGAAAATGGTATACGCGAATTTATATTTGTGTACGTACAACTCTCGGTATATTTTTTATTTAACATCCACATTAGATATATGTATATTTTCATTTACAATAGTTTAAAAAAAAAAAGGAAAACGAGATGGGCAAAAACTTTGATTAGAGTTAGTTCTCTTCACTGGAGAAAAAAAAGGGAAAAAAAGTTAATTTGATTAAACCTTTCAACTAAATTACTATTTTGTTAATTGAACATATATAGTATTTAAATCAAATATAAGTTTTGTTAGATTTAATGTTATATTTAATTTATTTTTATATGTTTAATTAACAAGATATTATTTAGTTAAAAGGTTCAGCCAAGTTAACAATTTTATTCAGTGTTTTAATATATCAAATTCATATGTTTATATAATTATGGTTATTTTAACATTAAATTTATATAATGTTCATATAAATTTAGAATAACCATAATCATATAAACATAAATTTGATATCAGAATAACTATAACCATATAAACACATAAATTTGATATCAAAATAACCATAATCATATAAACATGAATTTGACGAAAATTTTATTTTAAAGTAACCAGGACTGTGTGCGTTCAAAATATATAATTCGCGTATTATCTGTCACGTACGATTTAATCTGCACTATCTGTACATCGAGTAAGAAAGTAACTACCGTATTTGCTATCTTCGCAATAATCAACGAGAAATGAATTTGAAAAGATCGGTCTATCTGCGCAAGTAGAATCGCGCAACGATAAGAAATCTTGCGCTGTAACCTGATACAAGATGCGTGGCAAGAAAAAGACTTTCCACTGTTTACGCGGTTACCAGGCACACGAGGGTTCTAACATTACTATCGTCCTTTGTACAACGATATCGAGTTACGGCGCTTCTACTCGCGCGAGGATACGCCGATCTTTTCAAAATCAATTTCTCGCGAGAAATATCGCCAAGATGCGAAACGGTGAACTGACACTTCTCCACCAGATGAAGTTATTTATATTCCGTATTAATTGATTGAAACGAGAAGTAGCAGTCGAAGGCTCGATTAGGACGTGCTTATCGCACAAAAACGTAGACCCGCATAAAACGCAATAGCAATAGAATGATATCACGCATCGAGCGCAGCGGGAGGGCGATCTCGGCTCGTGCTCGCTCGAACAATAAATTTGATTCGCACTCACCAAATGCGTCCAAGTCGATGAATCCCTCGGCGGGATGGCGAAGGGGTGGCGAGGTCCACAACGCGCTCAGGGGAGACGACGCCGCGCCTGATAAATCCAGCGTCGGTGGTCACCGAGGGATCCGAGCGCCGGCGGCGGCAGCGCGACAACGCACACTCGACAACGGGCCGCGCACATAAAGATGGGTACAAACACTGGCTCCTGGCACTTGTGATCCTCACGCACTGTGTATTCACGACAGAAAAGAAAAAAAAGAAGACGGAAGTGTGAGAGAAGAGACGCTCTCTCGAGAGAAGTCCGGGTTATCGCGGCTATCGCCGTTATTACGAAAAGGACGCGACGACAACTTCACGCGATTAAACTCGGGGCTCCCTTCTTCCCCCCTCCCCCCTGGGTTTTTCGTTCGCTCGCGCGTCGATTCGCGATGATTAACGACGCGGAGGACGCGAATTTATCACTACTCCCGCGAACCGCACAGTGGCCATTACACACTCGTCGCGACGAACGGAGAGAAGCGTGTTTTGTTTTTCTTTTTTTCTCTCTCTCTTCTCTTCTTTTCGCGGAGGCGACGAAGTGCCGGTCCGCCGCGAGGCTACAGCAGCGACTGCTCTCGGGAGACTGGCGGCGCAGCCCGATCGACCAATCGCGCTCCTGCTTTCACCGAGCGCCATCTTGCCCCTACCCGAGCGCAAAGATGCTGCCGCGCCGAGCGTGGCCGAGCTCGCGCGGAAACGCCCGAGTCGCCCCGTTTCCATCTCCCTCCCAGGCGGCGCGGCGGTGGATCGACGTGCGTTTTGCGGCTTCGCTCCTTCGTCGGTGTCCTAACTTTCGATACGGGGGGTTTTATGGCAGGATTAAGCGCGAAGCGAACAACTCGCTTGTACATCGAGAATTGTGTCTCGATTCTTTCGCGTTTCACCCGGCGTATACCATTTTCCTCCCGAGTTATTGCCCCGAATAATGACTGTTTTACGAAAAGGGGAGCGTCTGATAAATCTTTATTATGCTTTCATTCATGCGTGACATAAATGTAGACCATAGACATCATAATGCCGCGAATATTCGTTAGAGGGGCATTATTTTCCTATCGAATCTAGACGTTGACAAATATACCATGATTGGGTCGTAGCAAGAAAATTATTGGGTCATTGCATATCAATTGAATCGTATTTCATAAATTTCGCTTTTGCAGGATGATTTTTATGGCGTAAACGTTTTGTGATAATCAAACGTAGTCTAACATGTCAGATATCATCTTAATATAATATGATTTCTTTTCTCAAAATATTTTAGCAATTTATTTATGAATTTATAGCTTAAGAATTTATTTAATAACTAACAAGCTAAACAATAATTCATGAAAATACGTAGAAAATTGGAAAATGAGTATTTCATTTTATAATTTATATTTATCGAATATAAAACGTCATAAAAAATAGTATTTAATAATTTAATATTGAACGTTCCAGATTTGAAAACAGTTTCTCATTTTTTAAATATTTTGTTTGTACATGTATATTTATCATGTGATATGAACATATATTACATGAAAATAATTTTTAATTTTGAATAAAATCATCGAAAAAAATGTTATTTTTTTATTGACTTATACATTTTAATTATATATAATAATTTATATTTTTGATGTAAGAAAAAAGGATTATATATATGCAACAACTCAATAATTAACGATGCTATTATTTATAAATATTAAAACCGTGTAAGCGTATCGATTTGTTTAATTATCAGTTTTTCCACATTTTCATTACTATTCTATGGTTATCAAATTTCAATAGTCAAACATTTTTAAATAAAATATATTTTAATTGGACTTCTTATTAATATTGATACGTTTGTCGATATATTAATCTATCTATCTATTTAATTTATGCCTTTTTCATTGCAAAGTTGATATCAAAATGATTAAGATACTTTACTTTAAACAATTCTTATCTCTATAAATTTATATCCATATATATCAATATGGACGTAATAAAATATATATAACAATAATAGTGCTTACAAAATGTTAATGATTCTTAATACAATTCGTTATTAATACAATATATTTCTATTCTATTTCTTTATTCTGAAATGACAACTTCATTAGTAATGTAAACAAAGAAAGAAAATGTACTAAACTAAATATATATTGGGACATAATATTTAATATCGTAAAACTTGCCTTAACTGTTTGTGTGTATGTTCACTTTGGAAATAGTTTGAATTATTGAGAGTTTGAAGTTGGTTGTGATTTCAATCACGAAATTGGCAACGTATAATATACTAGGATCAACAATATATTAGTCTTTTTGTAAATATAAACAATTTTTCATGCAACTAATTCTAATATCAAACACTGATTTTTAATTAAATTTTTATATAAAGAAAAGTATAAGTCACTCTATTATTTGAACTAAATTGTTTAGTAATTGTATGTAATTTGAGAAATTTGTCAAACAGTAGCTGTTTAATTTGTCAACAACTTGAAATGAGATGTTATATTACAAATATAATCTGACTTAGACGACAGATTATAAATATGAATTGGAATTTACAAGATGAAACAATAATATTAAAAATTGCATATATGTCGAGCTCTCAGTGAATTGCAATATCATAAAAATTGAGTGTTTTCATTAAATAAATAGATAGATTTGAAAGACACATGTTGAATAGTTTGATTCTAAATAGTTTCTTTTTTAGTTTCCCATTTTTATATTATTTGTTATTTTTATAATTTTTAATTCTTTTATATGTATATAAAATAATGATTTTCTGAGAAAATTATCAAACGAGTGTGATTTAATAAAAAAGTTTTAATTGTAAGTATTATATTAAAAAGCAAAGACATTTAATAAAAAAAACCTTTATGTGGTCACATTATAAAAAATTTTTTTAGAAAGCATTGAGTGCCATCTCTAGATAAAATATCAAAATTCAAAGATATAAATTGCTCGCACAGTCGATAAAAACAGAAGGAATTATTATGACATGTCTACTATTCTCCACGTGTTCAAAACATCAAATTTTGAGGTTATATCTCACATTTTACATTTTATATTAAATGATTTATGTATTATGAATTAATGACGTGTAATATATCTGAATGAAACTTATTTACATCAGATAAGAATCAAATAATAATGCTCATGTATATGTAAAACAAGCGTTGTGAAATTATTTTGTGTAAATAATTTTGTGGGAACAATCTGTATGCATATAAGGAACAATGGACAAATCTAATGAAAATAAGAAGACGTGGACAGAGAAAGAGCGTTTAGAACTTGCTGCTAAGTTGGATGCTGAATTAGATGAGTACATAAATAATCTAGAGAAGAAAAGTTATACAGAAGGATGGGCGGAAGACAAATGGCAAGAGGAAATGGAAAAACATCCTTTTTATGAAGAAGGCACCAGAACCTGGTGATGAACTATCCCCTTTAATGGAGGGATTGCAACAGCTCAAGTATGGAAAAGATGAGAATACTCCTGAAGGTAAGTTATTTCTCGATACATACAAATTGCTTCCGTACACTTGTATTTACAAAATATTCACTGTTACTCATTGTTATTCATCTAAACTATGCATCTAAACATGCTATGCATGCTAAATTTGCTTGTCTCTGATATAAAATATTCTTTTTCACACAGAATTGGCAAATAATTATAAAGAGGATGGAAATTTTAATTACAAATATAAAAAGTATCGTCTTGCTATTCTTAGTTACACAGAAGGAATAAAAGCCAAATGTAAAGATAATGATTTGATGGCTCAACTTTATAACAACAGAGCTGCGGCACATTTCATGTTGCAAAATTATAGGTAATTTTCTAAAAAAATTTTATTTTGACATATATGACATATATCAATGTGCTGTTTTAAGTTAAGTTTTTCTATTTCATTATATGACAAAAATTACAGATCAAGTTTAAATGATTGCAAGTTGGCTTTAAAGTTTAAGCCACAATATTCAAAAGCATTGAATCGAGCTGCCATTTGCAGCTTTCACATTAAGGATTATCACCAATGTATTGATTTATGCGATCAGTTTCTTGATCATAGTCCAACCGATAAAACAATATTGAAATTAAAATCTGATGCCATAGTTGCGAGAGTAAGACATTGATAAACTTATATGTAAAATTAAGTTATATATAAAAATATATACAAGTTTCTGTAAACTCTTAATATTAATTCACAGGAGCATTTACAAAGAGACAAAAGAAAGCAAATAAAGTTAGAAAAAAAATTGGACAAAGAGGATGAGAAATTGTTAAATATAATTTCAGGAAAAGATATTAATTTAGAATTGGTCAATGACAAACAAAAGCTAGATTTGAGAGATTTAGAACCTCAAGTGCCACAAATAGCACAAAGTAGAGTGCATTTTGATGAAAAGGATAAACTTGTATGGCCAGTGATGATTTTATACCCCGAGACCAAGCAAACTGATTTCATTCAAAATTTTCATGAAGATACATTGTATGTTTTTCTTATTTATTCCAACATCTTATATGCTTTATATCTGCATATTATTAAAATATATTTTAAATTATGCATAGGCTGATAGAACAATTGATAGAACTTTTTGAAGAGCCACCTGAGTGGGATACAGAGCATCGTTACACTATCAACAATATAAATGTATATTTTGAAGGCAAAAATAAATGTTCCGTTCATAAAGTAGACATCCAACTCACATTGGATGAAATATTACGAGACAAACGGTGAGCAATTCTTTTTTATAAAATAATAATAAGCTATTTTTATGGCAAAAATAATTTTTAGGTTCATCATTCGAGGTGGTACGCCGGCTTTTTGATATTCATAAAATCTAGTGAAGCAGAAAAATGTTTCTTAGCGAATTATTAAATGCTTCTTATCATATTTACACTGTATATATATTGTATATGTTGATTGTAAACGAAATATGTGCTGGATATTATGTGATCTTACATACATATTTTCACATACATAGAAAATATATGTTTTATAGTAATAATATAAGATATATCCTTATAAATCTTTCTAAAGTTTATATATTTTATATCAGTAACATTTATAAAACAATTCTGGCGAAAACTGGTACCTACTTATATTAAACTGGCCCATATTAAACTATGTTTAAACGCCTGCGATGTGCAACAACGATCACGTACGGTAAAAGAGCGCGAAAATAACTCAGTATCTCAATATCTCAATATCCGTTTCCGGTTGAACTGTGCAAATGCAAACGTGGCGATCATAACGTATATCAAACCTAGTGTTTTACTATTATTGCGGAAATATTTTCAAAATACTCGACTGTGATTGGTCGATTTGCGATCGACGACTTACGGCTCATTGTAAACCGGTAATTTATGGTATAATTCGCGCGCTTTTCTATATGGCGGGAAACTGACGATGCAGATCGCGATCAATCCTAATTAAGTGAACGTTATAATTCAACGAGTGCGGAGAGAACGGAATTAGTCCATCATTGTGACTAATTGTTGTCATCGATATAATTATAATTATATATTTTATTATGATAAAGAGTTACTCGTTTCATCACATTCAAGTTATAATTTTGCATTATTGAGACTAATAACCTAACAAATAGGCAGATGCAATTATGATGCGTAAGTATGCAAATTAACATGTACTAT